GGAGCAATCTGCCCAGGTCTCTGGGCCTAGCGCTCCCCCCAGGGGCCTCGACCCTGGCCTGCTGCCCACCTCCTCAGCCCGCTGCCAGGGTTGTGGGTCACCTCCTTCGGCCCCTCCCTGGACACCAGGGCTGCCCTTTCTCAGCAGGTTGGGGGTCTCTGGTTTGGGGGGCAGGCTGTACCCCGGGCTGGCCATGCAGCTCCTGTGACATGGTGTCACAAATGGGTGATTCAGATTGCTTAAACAGTGACAAACGTTCAGCAAAAGTGGTTTTAACATGATGTCATGAAAGTGCGATGGCAAGGTTCACTCTGTTAATCTACTGCACAATCATTTGGACAATGATTCAAGACGACCAAGACAAAATCAAAGTTACCAAGGCACAAATCAGAGTTGCCATAATACGAGGTTATGCACGATACCAGTTGCTTACCAAAGGTCTGCTGTTGGTGAAAGGTCTCTCTGCCTCGAGGAGCAACCGCGAGAGGTGTCCCAGCTCAAGGGGAGATCACCGCCGTGCAGCCACGCTGCCTAGCAGGGAGAGCTCGGAAAACTCACTCAGGCTGTCGTATTTATGGAATAAAGTGGTTGGCTCATAGTCAAATTATGTGTGATGGGAAAGGTATGCATGAGACTCCTTATACCCACAACTTTCTTTGTTCCTTGATAAATGAGTCTTGGGAAAGCCACCTGCTATTTATGTGTTTATTTATGCGTCCCTCTGCTCCTGCCTGCTGGACGCAGGGGACCCAGGAGGGTCCATCTTGGGCTCTTCCACCAGCTCAGTTGCTCTCAGAGGGTTTGTCCGCTTCTCATCCCCTGCTGATATCAGAAAGAGGGGTGGGTTGACCTCCCCAGCGAGGAGTCCCCAGCCAGTCACACCCACCCACCCCTCAGCATCTTGTTTTCTGGAAGGAGGATGGAGGCGTTGAGCAACATCCATGTCACAGCTGGCCATGACAAGTACCTGGGGGAGCAGGGGTTGGCAGCAGCTGCCAGCAGCCCCAGGGTGGGAGGCGCCTGCCCCATGCCCATCGCCTGAGCTCAACTGGGGCATGCTGAGCCGGGCTGGTGGGAGCAAAAGGTGGCTCTGAGGGCAGAAGCTGCCCTGCTTGTGTGGGATGGTTCTCGCTGTGAAGCTTCTGACCCGCCTCTGCACTGTCTGAGCTGCTCCCGTGGTTCCAGAGGCTTTGGGGATGCTTTGACCTGATCCCCATTCTCCTGGGGACTGGGATGGCGGGTGGCACATTTGCCACCTGTCATGCAGAGGTCCCTTCCCCTCTCCAGCTCATGGGGGCTTTTAGCACTGTGCCAAGCTTCAGGCTCAAAGGACACTCCCCCCCCGCCATCCCCAGAC